GTTTGTAATAGCTAAAACTTGGAAACAGCCCAATTGTCCATCAGTTGGAAACTGGATAATGAAGATGTGGTTTTTCTATAAAATGGAATACTACTCAGCCATAAAGAATGAGAAAATAGATTCATTCATAAGAAAATGGATACATATTGAGGATATACTCCTAATTGAAATAAGTCACACATATGTAAATACCGAATAGTTTCTCTGGTGTGAATAAACTGTAATAGTACATAAGATCCTAATGATATAATGGACAATGTGAAATAGGAAGAAAGGAGCTAAAGGTGTAGGGAAATTGGGAAGAGTAGGGGAAAGGTAATCAGGGGAAAGAAAAAAAGTATGAGAAAATGAAAAAATGCAAATGAAGTGTTTGTAAAGGAGGAGGGGAGGAGGGGTGGAGAGAGGGCAGGGGTATGGGGAAAAATGAGAACCAAGACCTGTCATGTAAAGGTACAAGATCCCAATGATGAATGTAACTGTACTGTATACCTAAAATGTACCAATAAACTCAATGACGAAAAAAAAAGAATCCTATTCTGATTACACACCTGAACTTAGATTGTACAGTATTTCATGTCTGTTGCCTTCACTATATTGACTGTATTTCATTGCCATACGTACTATACAAAATGAAGTGATTTATGACACCAATTCTGCCATCAGTCTCACACGTTAAAAATCAAAGTGTAGCAAGGGGGTGTGTAGCTCAGAGGTAGATTAATTGTCTGGGATGCGTGAAGCTTTGGCTCTGATACCCAGCAACCCTCCCTACAGTGGAAAATGTTACAGAAAACTTACGAGTTACTACTGTCCTTTGTTGTAGTGATTACCTCGATTCCTTCCCAAAGCCTCACCTGCTCACAGGAAGGGCTTTGAAAGGTGGCTAAATCCTGGCAGCGCTCTATTAAATGTGATGCTAGGGGGAAGCGTCTGACCAGAAACGCAGGTCACTGGGCACTTGACCTGGAAGCCTCCCTCCCCAGCTCCTCCCTTCATCTTCTGCTTCCTGAACCCATGGCCTGAGCGGCTTTCTTCCACCCAGACCCTCTGTCCTGCCATTTCTGTGTATAAACCTGCCAAGTGTGCACTGAATCTTATGTGGTCCGAAACAAACCTCTCCTCCTTCAAGTTGTAGATGTTGAGGATTTTGTCCCAGAGATAAGGAAAGTGAGTAAGACGTTATTTAAATTACATGTTATAATGTTTTTGAAACTGAACCACACTCCTCATTGAGAAAAGTAATTCCACTATGTAAAATTTGAAGGAGACAACGTCATTTAAAACCCAGAAACAGGGAAAGTTTGATCCTTGGTTAATAAGTTTTAGTTAGCTGGGAGTAAGAAGTTTGGGTAGCTATTGGACAGTAGGGTGACGACAGAGAACAAGGTATTGCATTTCAAAAAGCTACAAAAAGTGATTTTTAATCTTTTGGATATAAGGAAATGATAAATGTCCAAAGAGGTATGTATATTTGATCTGATTTAAACATGATACAATGTAAACATGTATCAAAATATTCCATGGTGTTACATAGATAGGTAGAGCTTTTATACATGTATCAGTCAAAAATTAACTTAGGAAAGGAAATGCTTTAAAGATAAGTAAAAATGATATTTTAATAAAATATATCTTGTAAGATTATTCTAATGACAATAAATGAAATAAAGTCCCACAGCATTGCTATAAGCAGCCTAAACTCTTAAATTACTTTTAAATTAATGGAAAAGTGGGACTGACTGTCTTTAACAAATATACAGCCACATGTTTCAGACACCGACACACTTACATTTTAGCATTTCCAGGTTTCTGTTATATTCTTTCAAATGCATAGGTGTCATTATGGTGGCTTTAGTTCTGTCTATGTATTTGAATGTTTACCTCGTATATAACATCATATATACTCATAATTTAAGAAATTAACAAGAAAAACTTGCCATATTCATATCCAAAATACCTATTTTTCACTTCAAATATTATCAGCAGATAGTTTTCATTTTGCTGCAGTTATAATAGCAACAAATGACCATTTTTTCATAGAATTCTAATGATCTAAGTTAAAATGCAAATATCCTATCATGCATAATATGTAGCTAGTATGTTTTTCCATAGTGTGAAAGTTATTTGGTGGTGGTTTTATTTCTAACAGAAAAAGTAAAGAGAATATTTATACATAGCAATAGTATTCTAGATCCATCTCTGAGGTCAAACTTTCCATAATTGTGGCTGCAACTGCATCTTACTCTGAGTACTTATCATTTCCTTATAAATATGGCCACGTGACTTTGTAGTAAATCTAAGAGAAAGTACATATAGCACACATTATGTTTTACAGTATCAGACACATTTTCTATTATAAATATTAGTCAGAAAAATGGGATATATGTTTTTTCCAAATATAATTGTGAAGGATCATAAATCTATAACAAATACATATATTTTAAAGCAGTGAAACTTAATGGATTTTGCAGTGTAAAGAACAATATAATCCAGGAGCCCTGTAGTCATTTAAAAATTTTTAACTTTACTGGTACAAGTTAGATATACATAATAATCACATTCGTCACAGGGAATTTGTATCAGTACACCGTGGATCTGAATTCCCTTTAGGTAGCCATTCACCTTCCCTCCCTTCAACTCCTTTCCCCCTCCTTATTTACAAAAGGCCCTTTCCACTTTTTCTTTCTTTTCTCACCCCCCCCCAAGTTTCCCCTCTTTTCTGAAAAATTTTTTCTTATTTTACATTGTCTATTATATATTTTGGTCCCTATTTACACTTTTAGTTTCTCACACCAGAGAAACAGTGTGATATTTACACATGTGTGTCCAATTTATTTCACTTAAGAGTAAAGCTTCAAGGCTGGGGATTTAGCTCAGTGGTGCTGCTGCTTGCCTTACAAGTGTAAGGTCCTAGTGTGATTCCCCAGTAAAAAAAAAAAAAAAAAAAAAAAAAAAAAAAAAAAAATCCCCAAAAAAAAAAAAAAAAAAAAAAAAAAAAAAAAAAAAAGAGTAAAGCTTTAAGAGGCATCCATTTAGCTATAAATGTCTCATTTAGCTATAATACTCAATTTATAGAAAAACATATCTTTTTTTAATCCATTCGTGGTTGATGGGCATTTGGGCTGTTTCTGAGATTTAGCTATTACAAACAGAGTCACCATAAACATGAGCACATATATTACTGTGGAATGACATTTTAAATTCTTCTGGGAACATACCCAGCAGGGGAAGAATTGGGTCAAATGGAACCTCTAATCCTAGGTTTTTGAGGAATCTCCACACTGATTTCCGCAGTGATTGCAGCAGTCTGCACTCCCACCAACAGTGGAGAAGGGTTCCTTTTTCCCCACAGTCCTGCCAGCATTTGTTGTTTGTTGATTTCTTGATAGCAACCATTCTTTCTGGGGTGAGGTGGAATCTCAGTGTTGTTTTAATTTGCATCTCTGGAATGACCAATGATGTTGAACATTTTTCATATATTTATTTGCTGTTTGTACTGGTTCATCTGAAAAGTGTCTATCCATTTCAGATTGCCACTTTTGGATTGGGTCTTTAAATTTGGGTGGTCTATTTTTCCCCCCAGTTCTTTGTATATTCTAGATATTAGTCCTTTGTGTGAGGGACTACTGGCTAGAATTTTTTCCCACTCTGTGGGTTGTCTCTTTACTGCTGGCGATTTCTTTTGTAGTAAAACATTTTTAATAAAATGAGGCCCCAGTTGTTGATTCTTTGTCTTATTTCTCATGTAGTCTGGGTTTGTTCATGAGGTCTTTGTTTAACCCTATGTCCTCAAGAGTTCTACCTATTCTCTCTTTCAGCAGATTTAGTGTTTCTGTTTTAATATTTAGATCTTTATCAATTTTGATTTTAGGTTAGTGCATGGAGAGAGACATAGGTCTAGTTTTAATCATTGTCATGTAGAAAGCCAATTTTTCCAGCACCACTTATTAAAGAGGCTGTCTTTCCAGTGAACATGTTTGGCCCCTTTGTCAAAGATAAAGTGGCTGAGTGTGTTTGGGGTTGTTTCTGTATCTTCTAGTCTATTACACTGATCCCTAGGTCTGTTTTTTTTTTTTTTTCAATACCATGCTTATTATTATTATTATTTTTTTAATCGCAGTAGCTCTGTAGTATAATTTCAAGTCAGGAATTGTGATATCCCTTGCCTTGCCTTTGTTGCCCAGAATTGCCTTTGCCCTTTTAGGTCTATTCTGGTTTCAAATGAATTTTAGAATTGTTTTCTCTAATTCTGTGAGATTCGTTGTTGGAATTTTGATTGGGATTGCACTAAATCTGTATAATAATTTTGGAAGTATGGCCATTTTCACTCTACTGGTTATTCCTACCCAAGAACAAGTGATTCCTTTCCATTTTCTGAAATCCTCTTTGATTTCCTTTTCCAGAGTACTATAGTTTTCAATGTAGAGGTTTTTACTTCTTTCATTAGAGTGATTCCTAGGTATTTCATTTTTTTTCAAGGCTATTTTGAAATGTATTGTTTCCCTAACTTCTTTCAGTGTGTTTGTTATTTGTGTACAGGAAGGCTATTAATTTTTGAGTATTGACTTGATATCCAGCTACACTGCTGAATTTAGTTATTAAATCTAGATGTTTTAAATTTAGGGTTTTTTGTTTTTGTTTTTGGTACTGGGGATCGAAGTTGGGTTCTTCTGTTTTCGAGGCAGGTGGCAAAACCACTGAGCTAAATCCCCAGCCCTAAATTTAGTTATTTTTAAACATAAATTTTCCTTTAAGAATTAAAATCTGACCAAGACCTGTCATGTAAAGGTACAAGATCTTAATAATGACTGTAACTGCACTGTATACCTAAAATGCACCAATAAACTCAATGAGAGGAAAAAAAGAGAATTAAAATCTGCTAATGAGATAGATTATGGATGACAATAACAAAAATTATATCCATATTTTAATAAGTGAGAAATAAACACAACATTAAATTATATTGCTCTACATTGAACTTTAAGAAAGAAGAATGAAATTACCTGTCTTCCTTTAATACCCGTCTTTCCACGGATCCCAGGAATACCCTAGAATATAAAAAAGTCCCAGGTAAATATTTGTTGAATGAGCATATTTGAATTTGTTGAGCTAGATACTATAGATCTTTTCTTCTCAAATTATCAGTTAATAAAGTATGCCAAAAGCAGAATTAATTGTCTTACAAACTAGCGTGATAGTCTCAAAAGTTAATATACTCAGTTGAATTAGGCCCTTTCCTTCCTCAAAACACTTTCCTAATTTTATTCAATAATCCATCCCATCTATACTTTCAAGTGAGATCCTGACATCCCCCAAGTGCTAGTTATTTGTCCAAAAGTGGGCACATTACCAATGATGGCACAAACAAAAGAAGGTCATGTGTTCCATTCCTAGAAAAGGATGCATTCCTCTTTGTCTTCCTCTCTGGATACAAATAAAGTTAATTTATCCCTTTCACTGGCAATCTTGCAGTTACACAGGAAACCAGTTATGGAGTAAATCTAACACCAAAAAGGCAAGGAAGAGAGGAAGATGATATCAATTCAATGTCATCTTGTATCTATATCTCAACTTACCTATTTCCGGTCGTGTAAGAGCTGTAGGTATAGTACTGAAACACCCAGACTTGTGAGTCGGAATACTTGTGTCCTAATCCTGGCTCACTCCTATAACCTGCTTACAGTTTAAGTTATATCTCTGTGCTTGTCTCATTTTCTTCATGTATAATGAGTCTAACAACCATTCCTATCTCATTAAGTTTTGTGGGCAATTTAAAGGAATTATTTATAGAATGCATTTACACATTTTTTGCATATATATAAAACAACTCAATAAATGATAAACTATTACCATCATTATTATTACAAAATTTCTTATTTTAAAGCCAATGCTATATATATTTTTAAAAATCCTACTTTCTATAATCACTTTGAGATTTGTAGTTACTCATAAACTTCAGGGACTAAGAAATAGATCTGAGCTCGGCATGTTGGTACATGCCTACAGTCTCAGCTACTGGGGTGGCTGAGGCTAGAAGACTGCGTGAGCCCAGGAGTTCAAGGCCAACCTGGGCAACATAGACTCTACCTCGGAGGTAAAACAAAAACAAAAACAAAAAAAAAGGAAAAAGGAAAAAATAACTACCAGAATGATGTTCAAAATGACAGCTCTAAAATTTAGAACTTTTAGAAGATATCATTGGTTGAAATAATCTATTTACTTACTTTAATGTCACTTGATAAATACTCATGTCTCTTTATCAAAAGAGTTCACAGTGGACAAAAAGATTCATTTCATTACAACTTTATATATCTTTACAACAACCAGCCTTTAAAAAAAATAATATTATATTTTTTCAAATTTAGTAGTTTTCCTAAATCACAGTGAGAAGCTTAAAAATAATGCAGACAAAATCATGTGAGATTTTAAATATACCTGTGTGTATATAATATCTATTATTGTGTATGAATATATATTTGTGTGTGAATATATGCATATATACATGTATGTGTATGTCTAGATGTATACTAACATAAAGGATTTTTTTCTTCCTGTTTTCTAGGATTTTTTTTTTTTGGCTCTTCTGAACTTACATGTTTTATAACATAATAAAAACACCCTGGTATCTTGTTCATTCATGGCAAATAATATGACATAGGATATGATAGGTACAATATCATGAAATTTTCTTATATATTGAGACAGGTCTTGACATTTTCGTGCAAACTGGTCAAAACTATGAAGTATAATTATAGCACCACACTTATCAATGGCCAGTGTCAACACTGGATTCAATATCCTCCAATCCAAGATGACAACATTTTTGCAAGTACATGCAATATTGGCTTATTAATTAATTTGTTAGAAATAAGTTCCTTTCAAAGAGTCAAAAAAGAATCACATCATGAGCAGCAGGGTCATTAATAATATAAAGTACATATACATATTTGAAGCAAGAAGAGGAAATTCGATTTTTTGCATCATAGATGGATATATCATCTGTTAATCTTCTGTGCCACTGCAGGTTAACTGGATTGCTTGTGGTATTATGCTAAAGATATTATTTGTTACTGAAAGATATTATTTGTTATATTCACCAAGGAAAATCTTCACCTCATATCACCAAAGACTTAGCATTTTGATTGTCATTACAGAACATTTAAATTCTGAATATTTCTTCTCCGTGGGGTCATGCACAAGTAATTACAAGAAATATTATTTCATACACTTACTTAAAAACCTATATATTTGAAAAATACATTTAGCAAAGAATAATCTGGCTCACTTTCATTTGCAAAGATCACTTTCTAGAAATGAAAACGTTGGCTTGAACTGTATTCTTATAATGATGCCATAGAAGGCTAACTTCTGAATATGACTAATTTTGAACTTTGTGATAATATATTGATACCATTTCCCTTTTTTCAATTAGTAATGAATATAAAGGAATAAAAATAAAAATAATTGAACTGCCTATAATATTGAAAACTAGATATGATAAAGTTGCAACATCAGAACTCAATAGCTTGCTTAATCTTCTTAAGTATAAGAAAATATTATGCAAAGATTCTATCCTTATTCATAAATTTGTACATTTATGAGCAGCTATGTCCCATGATTAAACAAAAAATGTATCTCCTGAAACTAATTTATTTACTATGAATACATATAATGCTTTATATTCAAATTAAAGATTAAGGAATTATAAAATTTCCTAATTAGATATTTCAGTATGTATTTTTAATTCGCTTTAAAGTATCTAACCATATATGTTCATGTCACATCATTTCCTTTTAACAAAATTCAGTAAGATTTAAGAAAGTTACTTATATTTCTAGCAGAGGGTTTTTCTTAAACCTGGCTTATTCACTTAGGAAACCACCTCCCTGATATTTGAGTTTATGAATCCTGCTACTACATTTTCATAAAAATATCACTTTAGAAATAGTGTTTGAAGGAAATACACTTACCCTTTCTCCTTCAGGTCCCAATTGTCCTGCTTCTCCAGGAGAGCCAATGAATCCCTTAAATCAAGAAAATAATCTTTACATTATTTTTTGTTTGTTTTTTTTGGTACTGGCCATTGAACTCAGGTCCTCGTGCTTGCAAGACAGGGGCCGGAAAGACTGAGCTAAATCCCCAGCCCTCTTTACATTATTTCATTTGAACATTTATCCCACAAATCTAAATATAAGTAATTAAAATTTTATTTACAATAATATGAAATTATAAGGTTTAAAAATATGAGTAACTTCCCCTCACCTTACTGTTTTTGTAATGGAAGTTACAGATCAACCTTTTTGTTAAAAAAAAACATGGAATATAACTTAAGAGATGGAGCTGATTAAAAACCAACAGGACCAAACCTTTTCCTTCACCAAATTTTATAGCTGGCAGAAAAAAATGTATATAATTAAATAAAATGTAAGGCAGAAGTGAAGTATTAAAAGACTATTAGTACAGAAGAGGAAAAGATTTAGTGTGGTAGGAGGTATGGGCAAAGGAAGAAGGTTTTAAGGGAGGCTGTGACTTCAGCTAGAGTAAGAGACACAATAGATCTTTTTAAATGGTAACCACATTTTATGTGTAAGAATCTTTGGAGAAGACCAAAGACCCATCCTGCCTTAATGAAGACTTCAATCTGGTCTGAGATGCAAGGGATACACACAAGTATCAATGCAAGGTACTGAGTTCATCCTAACATAATTTAGTTATGTCCTACCTGTGGCAAATGATGTACTTCATCAGTCTTATAGGTAAGGGCACAGTGGTTTGGGCCAGATTAGAGTTTTGTTTCAAGCTAAAACTTTCAGACTTTATATTTCAGATACATGGAAGATGTTGACTTTGTGACAGTGGGCAGTGCCCTGATGTCAAGATATACACAGTGTAATCAAAATGTATAATAAATGTTTAAACTAAAATTGTTATTACTGTGAAAGACACATTGCCATCAATGCCCCTTCAAAATACTTCCTCTCAGTTTGAAGACACATACCCTATTGTTCTAAAGAAGTTCTAGAAATCCTCTTCCATGAGTATCATTAGAAGTTACGATTAAATATGGTGAATGCTACTGCTGAATGCCTTCAAATAGATAGGCAGGCTCATAGAAATATTAACATGAGTCTTCCCCCCCCTTATATTTATTGCATCTATCACTGTGATTGCCAGTTCTTCTTCAAAATAAAAAAGGTAAGCATTTTGAATTGAAGCAGCTACAACACTGCAACTAAAGACGCAAAAGAAGAGGACTTCCAGAATTGTTTCAGACTGGAAAAAGTGATGGGGTGTGTTTGAAATGAGCAGGAGTATTTTCAGGGGATTAATGGAAACATCTTTCACTGTAATAAATTTTTTTAAGATAAACTTTGACTATTTTTATCATACTTCTAAAATATTAACCATTGATAGGATCTAGAATACATACAGGCAGGAAACACTGAATGTAGGAGAACCTAGAAGGTTCTTGCTCTTTAAATGCTCCAACTTTGAAGGAATATGGGTCTGGATCATTAATTCAACAGGCATTATTTTAGCATCCATTGTGTACCAGATGCTGGGGTCATAACAAAGAATATGAAAATCACTGCCCTCAAGGAATGCAATTTATTAGAAAAGAGGCTTGTATAAGTGAGTAATTAAAAAACTATGATACTTGTGACTTAATTATGTAGTTAGTGATATGGTAAGTTGAAGAGACAATGAGAATTTTGGAAACAGAATAAGCAACTGTGCCTACAGGAGGCAGTATTTGAGCTGAGTCTTAAAGAAAAAGAAAGTCAGGGCTGACAATATTTGATCAATCAATTAATAGAAATAAAAATCGCATCGCATGTGCAAAGACTTACAATTATTTCTATGTGGTTGGTGGGAAGAAGTTAGGTTGGAAAAGATGGCAGGGCCCTTATTAGGAAAGGTCTCAAATGTTATGATGGAAATTGTGGAATTTATATTGTGATTCATTAATGAAATTAGGCATAGTTTTGATATAACCAAATTTGCAGTTCATAAAACTCACTTGGAGTCAGCACATCTTTGAGCCAGTATCTAAGTGTCAAGGCAAACACGACTCTAAAGTTTATGGCTGGATTGATGGGGAAATGGTAAGTACTGACAGAAGTATGGAAAACAAATAGGATAACTGGATTGGTAGAGGAAAAATTTTCTTAGTCATTTTGTGTGATCATACTAGAACATACAAGTATATTTACCTTAGAAAATCGGTGATATGGGGCTCAAAGAAATCGCCCATTGAAAGGTAAAAGACTGAAAAGACAGATTATGTCTCAAGAAAAAACAAAGATAATAATAATCACTGATCAGATGGAGGCTGAAATGAGTATGAAAGAGAATGATTCTGGAATACAGAGAAAAGAAAAGATATAAACGATTTTGAAGCAGGGATAGAATAGACCATTTTTACTAAGTTCTAAAGAAGGCCCACTTATTTTGAATTACAGAATGAGTCACTTTTCAGAGTAAATACACACCACCATATTAATAAACTAAAGAACTCAGACATTAAAGAGTAAATGTCATTTGTAAATCTATAGCAGCAATATGCTTAGTATCAGAAAGGTGGAAGCAACTCAAATGCTCATGTAGATGAGCAGATAAAATATAGTCTACACATACAATGAAATATTGTTCAGCGTTAAGAAGGAAGAAATTCTGACAGATGTTATAAAATGATGTGTATGACAATTATGCTAAGAGAAATAACCCAGTCACAAAAGGACAAATATTATGTTTCTACTTATAGCAGGAACCTAGAGTACTCAAATTTATATAGGTAGAAAGTAGACCGGGGATGTGGTGAGGGGAGTCATATAATGGATACAGAGTTGGGGAAGACTAAAAAAAAAAAAGGTTTCAAGAAATGACAATCATAAATATATATGTGCCAAATACTAATGCCCCCAACTATACAAAACAAATATTAATGGATATGAAAAATGAAATAAGCACTAATACAATTGTAGTGGGGACCTCAATATTCCACTGACACAAATACACAGATCATCTAGACAAAAAATCAACAATGAACTAACAGAACTGATCCAAGTCTTAGAACAAACGGACTTAGTAGATGTCTACAGAGTGTTCCACCCCATAAAATCAGAATATACATTATTTTTGGTTGCATATGGGTCACTCTCCAAAACAGACCACATGCTAGCTCACAGAACATGCTTAAATAAATACGAAGGAATTGAAGTTATCCCCTGTATATTATCAGACCACAGTGCAAAGTGCATACTGGGGAGATCACAGCCTAAGAAACTGCAAAAATTTCACAAACACCTGGAAATTAAATAACACCCTATTGAACAACCATGGGGTCACAGAGAAAATTAAAGAAAAAATTAGATTATACAATTAAATGATAATGTCAATACAACATAAATGAATCTATGGGACACAATGAAAAGCAGTTTTACGAGGGAAATTCATAGCAGTAAATGTCCATACTAGGAAAACAGAGTGAGCTCAATTAAACAACCTAATGCTTAACCTTAAGCTCCTAGAAAAAGAAGAGCAAGACAACCCAAAAGTTCATACAAGGGAGGAAATTATAAAGATCAGAGGAGAAATTAATGCAATGGAGACTGAGAGAACAATACCCCCCCAAAAAAAATCAATGAATCAAAGAGTTGGTGTTTGGAAAGAATAAATAAAATTGATAAACCCTTAGCTAGCCTTATCAAAAAAAGGAAAGAAAAGACTCAAATTTATGCAATTAGGAATAAAAAAGGTGAAGTCACAACAAATCACCAGAAATACAAAGGACCATCAATACCTACTTCGAAAACCTATACGCTAATGAAATGTAAAAATACAGAAGAAACAGACAGATTCCTAGACACATGAACTTCCAAAGTTGAACAAAGAAGATATAAAAAGTCTAAACACCCCAATTACATTCAGTGAAATTAAACATGTAATTGAAACATTACCAAAAAAGAAAAGCTCAGGCCCTTGTGGCTTCACTGCTGAATTTTACAAGATATTTAAAGAAGAGCTATCACTACTACTCTTTAAACTCTTCAATGAAATTGAAAGGGAAGCAATACTTCAAAATTCATTCCTGGAAGCAAGTATTATTTTGATTCCAAAAATCAGGGAAAGACCCAACCAAAAAAGGAGAGTTTTTTTTTGTTTTGTTTTTTAACTATAGGCCAGTCTCCCTAATGAAAACAGATGCAAAAATCCTCAGTAAGATACTGACAAACAATGCAGGGTATCATGGAGAAGATCATACACCCTGACCAAGTCAGATTTATCCAAGGGATGCAAGGACGGTGCAACATACCTAAATCAATAAATGTTACACACTATATTAGCAGAATCAAGGACAAAAACCATATGATGATCTCATTAGATTCAGAAAAAGCATTTGACAAAATTCAACACCCATTCATGATAAAAACCTTACAGAAAATTGGAATAGATGGTCTTTATCTAAACATGACAAAGGCTATCTATGAAAAACCAATAGCCAATATCATTCTAAATGGCCAAAACCTAAAAACTTTCATGCTAAAATCAGGAACAAGATAAAGATGTCCACTGTCACCACTCTTGTTTAATATAGTTCAAGAAAATTAGCCACAGCCATTTGACAAGAGAAAGAAATAAAAGTAATAAAGATAGGAAAGGAAGTTAAACTGTCACTATTTGTGGATGGTATGATACTCTACATAGAACATCCAAAAAAACTCTGCCAAAAGATGGCTAGACTTAATTGACAGACTCAGTAGATTGGCTGGATACAAAGTCAAAAATAAAAAATCAACAGCCTTCTTGTACACAGATAATAGACTCACTGAGAGAGAAATTAGGGAAACAATTCCTTTCACAATAACATCCCAAAAAATGAAATATCTAGCAATCAATCTAATGGAGAAGACAAATGACCTCTACACTGAAAATTATAGCACTCTGAAAAAAGAGATAAAGAGGATATTTAAAAAAATGGAAAGATATCCCTTGCTCCTGGGTAGGAAGAATCAACATAGTGAAAATGGACATACTTCCAAAACTTCTATACAGATTCAATGCAATCCCTAAATCCCAATAGTATATTTCACAGAACTTGAAAAAACAATCCAAAAATTCATTTAGAACCAGAAGAGACCTAGAATAGCAAAAACCATTCTAGGCAACAGACACATGGCAGCGGGTATCACAATTCCCAACTGCGAACTATACTACAAAGCCACTGTGAAAAAACAGCATGGTACTGGCAAAGAAACAGACCTGAGGATCAATAGAATAGATTAGAAGATGCAGAAACAACACCAGACATACTCAACTACCTCATTCTTGACAAAGGAGCCAACTATCCTCACTGGAGGAAAGAAAGCCTCTTTAGTAAATGTTGTAGGAAAAACTGGATTTCAACTGGTCAAAGATTAAAACTAGACCCTTATCTTTCATCATGCACTAAACTAAAATCCAAGTGGATTAAAGATCTAAATATCAAAACAGAAACACTAAACTTACTGGAAAGTAAATTAGGTAGAACTCTTGAAGATATTGGCATAGGAGAAGACTTTATGAACAAATCCTCAGTAGCATGAGAACTTGCACAAAGAATAAACAACTGGGATCTCATTGTATTAAAAAGTTTTTGCAGTACAAGAGAAATCACCAATAGAGCTAAGAGACCTACAATGTGGGAAAAAACTTTTACCAGATACTCCACAGACAAAGTACTACTATCTAGAATATATAAAGAACTCAAAAAAAGCACACCCCCGCAAATACAAAGAATGGATTCAAAAATGGGCATCTGAAATGAACAGACATTTCTCAGACAAAGAAGTAAAACTAGCAAATCAATATATGAAAAAATGTTCAACATCACTGGTCACTGAGAGATGCAGATGAAAACAACACTGAGATTCCACCTTACCCCAGAAAGAATGGCTGCTATCAAGAAATCAACCAAAGGAAATAAGGGAAAAAAATGTGAAAAAATGAAAAAATGGTAGCAAAGTTTTGTAAATAGGGAAGAGTGAGGGGGTGAAGGGAGGACAGGGGTATGGGGGAAAAACAAGAACCAAGGTACGTCATATAAAGGTACAAGATCCCAATGATAAATGTAACTGCATTGTTTGGTTTTAATGTACCAATAAACTTAAAGTTTCAAGGGGAATGATGGTGATGATTACATCACAATGTGAATGTACTTAATGCCACTGACTATACACATAAAATAACTATATATAACTATGTATAATACTACAGATATATCCATATTTTTAAAAGGAAAAGGAAAATAATGTCTTGCAAATCCTTTTTAAATAGCTTAGACTAAGACTGTGGTTGGGATTTGATCTGTAATGGTGAAAGCAAGTAGGTGTTGTCATAGCAAAGGAGTATTCTTTTTAGATAAAGTAAAACAACTTATACAGACTGAAGAAGCCAAAATTAAAAGAGAAATAGAGAAAATTAATTTCTTTCTATTTAACGTCAATAAAATGAAATGTTTATAATTTGCATAATTTGAAGCCCCGCAGTTGGAGAACAGAGAATATTTCTATTGAAATGAAGAATTCAAAAGTATTTCTGAAAGCAAAGCACTTAGGATTATTGAAGGGAGCTATGTACATTTTCATAATCATCAGTTTCATTTGACTCCAAATGTAAAAGGGGCAGGCCTTGGTTTAATACAGCTTTTGTTTTGGTTATAAATCAGAGAAACAGATACTGAGGTACACAGATCAGTGAAGTAAATAGGCAACTGAGAAGTTGGGGGTTGAAAGTCACACCTCTGTCCAACATAGCCTGTACAGGGGACAAATGTAGTATTTTATAAATAAATGTTTTAGAGGAAACAATGTCATGTGCGATTAATGACGTGTTTCATAAAGGCCTATAGTTAAAGGCTTGAACCCCTGGGTGAGGCCAGTAGGAGACGGTGGAAGTTTTAAGGGGAGAGGCCTCCTGCAGGTTTGTCTACCCTGTGGCCTATGGGCCCACAGGACCAACACAAAGACAACACCTGTATCTTTGCTCCTTGAATTGAAAGCTGTAGAACTGGTAAGAGGTAATGTTGTGTTACCAGCAGGCTCACTAGAAGAGTGAGGAGCGGCCCGTCACAATTCTACCGGTTGAAGTACTCAGCATATTATTGCACCAAGAAATGCCAAAGGAGGGTTAAAAAAATTTCAGTCTACAAAGTCTTTGTAAATAGGGGAGGGTGGAGGAGGTAAAGGGAGGGCAGGGGTATGGGGAAAAAATGAGAACCAAGAGCTGTCATGTAAGGTGCAAGATCCCAATAATGGATGTAACTGTACCATATACCTAAAAAGAACCAATACACTCAATGAAAAAAAAATATAGTCTAAATGTTTATATTTATTATAGTAGCTCTCTTGATGCTACAAGTGTAATCAAGTAACTTCCAGTCAGAAGATAATTTATCAGATGATTCATAAAAATATTCACATGCAATGTATAACATGTAGTAAATTAAGAAAATGTAAAAGTTTATATTTCAGTGAATATATTGCTATGATTTTTAAACTAGATTTGAAATTAACATCCAAGGCCACATTTGAGACCTTTTGTGAATGTACAGTGTCCTCCCAATGGAAAAAAATCAAGATAAAAAATTACATAAAAGTGGAAATGCCTTCATAATATATAAATTTCTATATAATTGGTAATTAGCTGTGTGTTATTTTGTTATAATCTCCTAAATGACTGATTATAGACCTAGAAAAAAGTTACTTCTATGTTTTTTAAATGCTTTTACAAACACACCTGTCAAAACCTAAAATTACAATATTAAAGGCACAGAAAATAATTTTTTATACGAATGGGAAAAAGCGCCAACAGAAAGAAATATAATACAATACATAAATGGTATACAAACTTAGAAAAGTCCGTGAATCACTGAAGCAAGAAGAGAAAATTCAGAGAGATTAAGCTAGTTCTACAGTGCCAAATATTTCTTGCACACCAGATATTATCTTATACAGAAATGAAATTAAATAATAATTATAGAATCTGGGTAGTGAGCACATGTCATATTCTACACATCGTGTTCTAGTTAAGAATGCTAATCTCATTCCATTCTCACAATCGCCTGAAAGATGTTTCATTATTACCTTTTCATAGGAAAAATGAAGCACTAGAGGTAATGATATCTAAAGTCACAAAACTAGTAAGTGAAGGATCATATAAAAACAGTGGTCTCCCTAACTTCTCAGCCTATGCTCTTGACCACTAATTTCTTCTTGCTTCCCAAATCTATGTAGACGTGCCATTTCAGGGAAATTTCTAAGACGCAGGAAATGAACAACAACCTGGTATAGTAGAAACAACAGAAAGCTAAACGGTAGCTTGGTTCTTGTTCTAACTAGCAATAACTGCCACAGCAAAGTTCTTTTAGCTTGCTTTTTTCTCCTCTGCAAAATGGACCTGTTTTATTTCACAGGATTAATGGCAGCATAAAGAAGAAAACACATATGAAGGTACTGAAAGTATTTAGGAATTTTTAAAATGTAAAGCTTTATTACTGTCCATATTATTTAAATTCTTTATGCTTTACCCATTTCTAATAGGTGTTTTTAATTAAAAAAGGTGTAAACGTACATACACTAGGAAAACTGGCTATCAAAAATAGGGAATTTTTAAAACAGAAATTTTAGTTTATTTTTACTAAATTTTCCTAGAATGAGCTTTTGATTTTAATTTGTAGCACACACACACACACACACACACACACACACACACACAATTTTTAGAACTCCTTTCAATGATAAAAAGTGGCTAATCTTTAAAAAAAGAGAAGTGGAATGGGATTTTCTTGGTATGATAAGCTTATTTCCTTTTCCGATATTTCTTCATTCCCGATAGTTTTTGCATCATAAAATTATCTCACTTTGGACTACTGTGACTTCTTTCTAATCTCTTCAGTTTCTTCCATCAAGACTTCCCAGATTTATATAGGTCATATATAAACAGTACCATATATGTGTAAAGAGTACATTCTAACATGCCAGACAAACAGTGAGAAATTAAACAAATAATGATACAAAATCGACCGCTATGAGACTGTTGTATGTGGCCATAAAAATGAATATAGCAAGTGTATTCTTTTCAGACTAAACTTGTGTTAAATTAAAACTTTCTAAACAAGTATAAAAAATAATAAATGCTTTGTAGAGTTCATTCTACCTCTATGCAAGCATGCTTAACAAGATTAGGAAAATGCTTACTTACTCGTACACCTTTAGGACCTGGATTACCTTCTGGTCCAGCTAATCCCTAGTAGGAACAAAAGGCAATGTCATCACACTGTACTACTTGAAAAGTGTTGTTTCCAATTTACTACAAGTATAGATAGCACTGTATCATTTTGAATACTGTGAAATTCAGCTCACTATACCTAATGAAGATTACAAATGTTCAAGGAATTATAGAATTTCAGAACCAAAAGAGGCATTGTATATACTTTATACACAAATATACTTTGTTATCTAAATATAGTACAGTAAAAGATACTGTTAATCAAGCAAATTTTTTCACTGAAATATTTCATGTTAGAAAACCGAGTTGTTTTAGAATCATTCTAATTAGGCAATTCTAAAAGATATCCCTATAATTTTTAAAAAGACAAATACTTTTCAAATTTTAATCAATATTCATATGCTTAAGTATTTTTCAGATAATATGCATATCACTGTATTGGGGAGAGTATAAATATAACACTTCCAGATACTTTTAAAGGCCTTAAAATAATTTTATCAACAAATTGCTCTTTTTTCATCTCTAATTTTCCTCACTCTTGAGAATAAAAAACATACAAATATAACTTTCTACACTTAACTTTAAAAATAATTCACAAAGATTCAGGAAGGAAAGTGATCTATTATTGGTCTATATAAAGTGAAGAAAATTATAAATTAGTAGGGAAAAGCTCTGAAATGATTAGAATGGATTTTCAAAATAGTATACAATGAACTGAATTTAGTTCAGATAAACGTATTTGGTAGTGGTATGTATGACTTTTTTATAACTTATTTTAAAATGATGCTTATTAAAGAGTCAACTCATTACTTCATTTCAGTCAATGGCAGTATTTTAATATTAGCATGGAGCTATTCTAAGATCTTATTAGACTTTTGAGCATTTGATGGTTGCACTGCATATCACATCAAACACATTTAAAAGACCTACTCCTATTTTCAAACAAAACTTTCTGCAGTAAAAAAAAATAAATAAAAGGTTTTACAACTTTTATTTTGAAATTATTTCTCTTTGAGCAATTCATTATTTAATAAAAATAAACCAACTGACATTTGAGCATTGACTCCCAGATTGAGAATACAGCTAATAAACAGGAATATAAAATAAGTGTGAAAATAGTTACTGCACCTGCCTGCCAGGGTAACCAGGTGAACCAATACTACCAGCAAATCCTGGAATTCCCTGAAATGAAAATAAAATAAATAAAGCAATATATCAAAGCCAAAGAAAATCCAAGGGAACCAATTTCCAAGTTTGGAAAGAATTTTTTCTCCCCATAAAATTAGAGAACTGCACATTGCTTATTTGTCTAAAATAACTGGTTGGGAAAATGAGCCAAAATTGCTAAATAAAAATAAAACAGATTAGGGCACTAAATATGACATTGATCATTAATAATGATAAAATCTAACATAGAAAAATCCAGGGTTACATAACTAAAGAAGATATTTATTCCCAAGGAAGAGATTGTGTTTTTTTTTTGTTTTGTTTTGTTTTGTTTTTTTTGGTACGGTGGATCAAACGTGGGCCCTTGCACTTGCAAGGCAGGCAACGGTACCACTGAGCTAAATCCCCGGCCCCTGTGTATTTCTTAATAACCATTATCTCTTTTGATTAAATTTATTCTAGTCTCAATCATCCTGCAATAACCTTCCACACAACCCCCAAGTGAACTTCCAAGACCACTTCTTTGTTTCTAAGGTAAATATAATCTTACATCAAGTTGGATTAAGTAAATAAATATTAATAAATATCTTTATCATGACATGAGTCTATCCAAATGAAATTTATATAGTAATGGGGATAATGCCAAGAATTGAATATTTGCGTGCCCCCTGAGTATACATTTTGAAATCCTAACCCTTATGGTTATGTCTGATGATTTCAGAAGGTGCAGAATTTGGGATGTAACTTAGGTCATGTGCTCAAATCTTCATGAGGGCAATTATTGTGCTTATGAGATCAGACAGTTGGTTAGTCTTCTTTCCACCATGTGAGGATACAAAAAGTTAGTAGTCAGTCTGTATCCAACAAGTCCTCACCAGATCTTGATCATTTCGGTATGCTGATCTCTGACTTTTCAGCCTACAGAAGTCTGAGGAATAAATTTCTGTTGTTTATGAGTCACCCATGTTTGGTGTTTTGCTATAGCAGCCCTAAATGATTTAGACAGGTAGTAATTCGTTTGGAATTGAATATTCTGTATTCTTGATTTAAAATAAGATTTTTTAAAAGGAAAACTGTGCTATAGAACTGGGTGGAAAAGTAAAAAAAAATGTTTTCATTTTCTTTCATTGATACATTATTCACTAATATATTCAGAGTTTAGGTCTGTTAAGTAATTCTCAAATCAAAGAAATGCCAGAAGAATAGGTGTTGAGCTGCCTTTATTTAACTTCAGGAGGTAACAACTGCAGGTTTACTAGATTCCATATTCATCACGTAAAGTTAATTTTCCATATATTATTGGTCAAAGAAATTAACCCTTTGTCCCCTTGTTCTGAAGCAGATGGAAGTGCTACCTTCAATTTAAGTGCTGAAACACTAAAACTGCTAAACAATTGAAAATCTAGAGAAAGAATGGACGAAGGAAAAGGTAAATGGAAGATCATAATTTAAAGTTTCTTTTCTCCACTTTTCCTGGAATACTTCTGTCAGTTTTGTTCTTTCATTTCTCTCCTTCATGTCCATGTGTCTTCCCTTGACCCTGAAGGGATCATTTATTTGGCAATATTCCATGTGCTAAGCACTTTAAATCTATGAGGTAGGTAGTATTTTATCCATTCTACTTTTGAACAAACTGAGCTACAGAGACATAGCAATGGTGACAATTTAATACACTATCAATAAACACTGGCCTTCTAAAGATTATAGAGTAAACAAATTCTTGACTATAATCTTATTATGTAATATTATTACTTTATTAGTATTCATTACATACAATAATTTACATAGTCCTAAAACACTGAGTACTTAATCATGTGCTAGACACCACTTGAAGTATTCTGTATGCAGGTTCTTATTCAATCTGTCTAAGTTCTATAAGAGAGATATCATTATCTCTATATTACATATGAGAAAAAAGTGAGGCACAGAGTTTTTAAGCTATCAGTGAAAGGTCACTTATCTAGGTGAGAAGCCAGGATTTAAATCAGCAATTCTAATTCCAGAGACCACTATTCGAGGCTGCCTCCCTAGTGACTCAGAAGTGTAAATAATTTCCAATCACACTTTAGGGAAAGCATTCTAATAATAGGATTTGCTTCAGCATATATATAATTGCCCTCCTTTATCTTCCACCCAATTGCAAAATACATAAGCCTACATCTAGAGATCAGCAAAATCTTAGATTTGTTTATGCCAACTGAAAGGAGTGAAACAAGTTTCAAAGGCCATTTTTACTGTATAGGTCACTACCTATCTGGCTAATACCAACACCATTCCCATTCTTTTCCTAGCCAAATTAGGTCAACTGACCTCCAGAAAAAGCAAATTTGTTAGGGGCATAAGTGAAATATTATTTCAAATGGAGTTTTACATATGGAGATCTAACACATCCCAGCTGTATAGAGAAAAATATAAAAGGATGCTACTTGATGTCTAAGTTTGGTTTTATTAGAGTAGCATTAAACAAAATAAACATGTAAGCATTAAGCAGAATCTTTATATGGCATGAACATATTACAAACCATCCAAGGCAAGGGATTTAGCTCAGTGGTGCCACCACCTGCCTTGCAAGCGCTAGGACCTGAGTTCAATCTCTGGTACAAAAAAAATAAATAAATAAAATAAAAATAAAAATAAAGTTCAGATACAAGTCATCCACATCCCAAAAATCACTGCAACAACTGCAGAAATTCAAAAGAAACTTGAACCACCATGATTCTGTTCACTCTACACTTAAAAAAATTAAAAAATTAAGTTTGTTCACTCAACACTTTAAATCTAATGGAAGAACAAAGATACAGTTGTATCACTAACCTATTGGTAAATTTACAGTTAGGAAATTAGGAAACTGTCCCAATCTCATTTTTCACTGTAAACATAAAAATATCTATGCCAAGTTGATCAGATTTCATTCAGAATCTCAGCTCTGCTACTATCGGTCTTTTCCATATACATCTCAGTTTTTCTCATCAGTAAAACAGAATAATAACTAGGTTGTGAAATTACTGGGTGAAGAAATAGAACAATGTAGAAGAATATCTTCAAAAGAAAAGGTAACTAAAATATGCCCAGTGTTGCTGAACACTAGACTAGTTAAAATATAGAAAATATTGAATAAATAATTGTTGCATTTATCAGTAAGACAGCCTGGCAAATAGAAGAAAGAGGCCCAAACAGTTTTGATTACTAGAGCTCACAAGATGACATCATTGTCTTTCCATATGTTTTCTGGCCAATTTGTTTACTTGTTTTCCAGAAGGGAATGTTTTCTAGTGCATCAGTTATGCTTCTTATAATATCCACAGTGTTTTTGTAGTAAAAATGCAAAATGATTTTTGTTCAAAAGTAAATACAAATTTTCACACTTCCTTTTCAGAAAGCAAGAATGACTTCCAAAATATAATCCCAACTTTTAAAACTCTTCTAAAAAGTATTCTGCCATCACAGTAATAACATGTAAGCTAACAGAATGAGGTGATAGAGAAATTGTGGGAGAACTCGTCAATACAGCTAGGTAGCTAGTTTTTCACTGACTTGTGAATTATCCAGTTTCCTTTCTGGTATCCACACATTTCTGCCAAGACAATATTCTAGGAATTTTTTTCCTTTTTTAAGGACTAATTCCTGCCATCCTTCTCATATTTTTCCCCATAAATCTTCAAATGCTTTGCAGCCTTGCTTGATCTTCAGGAATTTAACATCAAACCTTATACATATGTTGCTTTGCTTGCCATGTTTAATAATCTTGAAAAATTGTGTCTCGGAGATGAATAAGGTATTTTCATACTTAACCTGAGTAAAAGAGAAAAATGGCCTTTGTTTCTTTATTTGTATTTTTCCTTCAGGAACTAACCAACCAAATTTCTGAGGTTGCTTTTCCTGAGGCTCTTTGCTGAATCTTTAATAATGGTATATATCAAATTAGTTTTTAATCCGTACTCTTCCATTTTATTGATACTGGTTTAAAATATCCTGTGTTGAAAGACTCTATCGTATTATGTGATGATATTTTCTGGTGCAAAAGAGAATCAATAACATGATTCAAACCCAAATAGTCTCAAAACTATTTTGGCTTTTAAATAATGTGCATGTGTATCATGGAAAATATATGAACTATCCTAATTGAGATTGCTATTAAACTTTATTTGCCTTTCCTTATGCAAAGGTAGGGAACTAATAGCTATAAATATGCTTTAGTGAATAGATAAAACCCTGAAATTGTACAAAAAACATTAAGAGTGTGTGTGTGTGTGTGTGTGTGAGAGAGAGAGAGAGAGAGACAGAGAGAGAGAGAGAGAGAGAGAGAGAGAAAGAGAGAGAGAGAGAGAGAAAAAAATATGCTTGTCTCCTGGGATTTATAGCATTTATAAGGTTTTTCGAAGGGGACTATAAACCATAGAAATTTAACAACTATTGTTCTGAAAAAGTTAGGCAAATAATGAAAGTAAAAATTGTTGTGTTATCTGTTAAATATTTTTCTTGAAAAATATCTGTAGCTAGCCAATTAAAAGGTCATTTTGGACTAAAGAGAGTGGAACTACTTTGACGAAAAATTGAAAATTTAGGTGAAAATATTCTCGCAAGACAGTCCCTTAATGTGTCATTTTTAACTGAAGAAAATACATATCTTATAAAGTACTTACTTGTTCACCACGGAGTCCTGGGGGCCCTGGATGTCCTTTAAGGCCCTGTAAGGGAAAAGGTGAAGATATACTATGAAAAGTAAAATTATACCATATAAGCCAAGTAACTAAAGAAAGTTTCAATGCTTAATCATCGATGAAATTCAATTCTCTTAAATTTATTTCTTATTTAATTTAGCCCCCAAAGCTTACTTGTTAATAAATAATACATTCCATGATTTTGGATGTTATTTGAATAATTTGTTATCAACTGAAATGGTAATATATAATAGATCATAGAATCTTTTATAATAAAAAGAGTCATATCTAGCAATGTGTATGCTTAGTTTGCTGGGGCTTTTTAAAAGTTGGTTTTAGTTCAATAATGCTGAGATGAAATACTCTCAGGCAAAATTTGTTTATTAAAAAACTGGATCGAAGCCAGGTAGTTTCTCTGATTTCTTACTGTTCTCAGATTTCATGAGTAACATAATTAAAATGAAAAAAAGCTGCTCACAGATTAAAGGGGTCCTATAAGGTCTAAGAAATTAGCAACAAAAATATTTTCCAAATAATAGCAAAATCAAATCTTAATCTCTATTATTAACACCCCAAATTATAAAATAAAAAATATCCTTCTTCTAGAGAGATCTTCTTTTATGAACAAAATGAAAGAAACTAAAAAGAAAGGATAGGACTAAAGAAATAAAGGCAGACTTGGGAGCTTAATTGTACTCTTCTAATCAAAAATCGGAGAACTAACCTATTGTTTCCTAGAAGATTTTCAGACATATAAAGAAATAAAAAAAAACCCTCATAGGATTTTAGACAAAACGACTCAAAAGCTTGAAATAAACCATGGTTCACAAATTTTTTAAACGTCCCAATAATATATTGCAAACAAAAAGTTTGCCTAATGGAGTAAAGTAATTATTCAGGATTAGTCACTGTGGGTTTGTCAAGAGAGAAGAACTTGGACTGATGGGTTGAAGAAAAAGATGCTTTGGTTGGACTACAGATAGATGAGAAGCCCATTTGAAATAAAAAGGAGTGAATTTGGAAGCTTTAACATGTTAAAATTAAAACTACACTAAAATGCCTAAATAGAGAGGTCTCGGAAACTGCGATGGTTTGGATGTGGAGTTTTCCTGCCAAAACTCAAAGGCGCGGTACCACTAAGCCGCAGCATCCCCAGCCCGCATGCGCACTTTGATCCCATGGTGCAGTGCGGTGAGACCGCAGGGCCTGATTTGCCGCTTTCAGGTTTGTGCCTTTGCCCTTCCGTTTTCTATCGTGAGTTGAAGCAGCTTGAGGTCCTCACTGGAAGCCGAGAGATGCCAGCTCCATGCTTTTAGACTTTTCAGGCTCCAAAGCCAAATCCTCATTACTTTATAAATTACAGGGCCTCGGGTAATGTTGCAACAAAAGTGGACTAAGACGGAAACCCAAGGAAAAATTGAAAAAAAAAAAAAAAAGCAAGTTTGTGGACAAAGATTTCTATGTTCCCGATATAGGAGATTAGAAAAACGTATGAAAAAGAAGAAAAACCTAGAGGAAAGACGAAAAGGCCCGTCCTCCGGAGCCGGTTTCTTTGTGATTAAGCTGTTAGAAAGCAATCAGGGACATAGCTGTGCGAGAGAGGAATAAAAGGAAAGAAGGAAACCAATAAACTTCACTGAGTGCACTATTTCTGAATGCCTAGCCGTTACAGCAATACTGTGCTGCAAGTATCATCTCAGTTTTCACAGATGAGGAAACTTAATTCTGAGAAATTAAATAACTTAACCAAAGTCAGGTCATAGTGACATGATAGACTTAGTAGGACTTGAGTAAACTGCCTTTCTAGTTACTTTATATGCCTCTAATTATCTCGTCGTCAGATATGACCTGTCCTAATTCTCATCAGCATGTTCAAACTTATCAATGAAAAGTTATATTTCAAAAATCATGATGCTATTAAAGTTACATGCTTCTTATGTTTAATGCATCTAATATTTCCAGTGGTTTTCAATTTCCTTCTGAGCTTTCACATTTTTTAGAGACAGCTGAAGATTTGTGTAAGTAAAAATATGCAACATAGTGTACTCAGATGTCCAAACTGAGCACACAAACTTCCACAAATAAAATTATCCATAAAGCTTAGGGTCCCCCCTTTTTTTCTTAACAGGAGATTTTTTACAAAAACATCCTCAGCAGTAAGAAAGTGGTAGTGGATCCCTGGAATGAGGCAGCCGCTCTCGGAGGTTGAGAGCTAAAAGCTTCCTGGATGAGTGCCAGGGAGACTGGTTTATTAAGGAGCCAGGGAAGGAGGAACTTAGGTTACAGAAACTCTGCTGCCTGCTTTTCTTTTCCCATTTTTTAAAAAAGTATGTTTTTATTTATTTACTTGTTTTTATTTCTGTGAACCCTTCAGTCTAGTGACATTCTTCATTTTCTTTGGATACCACCTGTTTTTCCGATCAGCATTCTTTTCCTCCCCAACCTAGAATGAACTTTTCCTGAAGCACTAACAGAGAAAGATATCTGTTAATCATGGTATCTTCGGCATGTACAATTTCCTTTCAAGGAATTTTTCTTCAGTAAGGATGTTTTATAGAGTGGCAGCACTAGGCAGGTGTGATCTGTTCTTCAGGAAATCTCTCCTATCTCAGCCACAGAAGTTGGCATTTGATCTAAGAAAGGAAAATACAAACACTGTCCAGTAGCCTATAAGGTCACTTGCAATGCAAAATTAAATGAAAAAATAAAAGTAAGCTAGGCCAATCAAATTCTCTCTTTTAAAAAAATGAAATTTAATTACTAAAAAACAGTAATGGAAAAATTCAAAAGTACTTAGGAGCAGGGAAGAGGTAGCTGGAAAAATTTGCAAAGAAAGGTTAAGAGGAAGCATAGGGGCCTAGAGATGCTATGAGAAAGCCAAACTATAACTAAAAATTAAGAGGAGGAAGAAATTATGCTGAGAAAAAAAGTTGACAAAGGAAAAGAAAGATAACTTTAAAAGGCAGCTGCAGAGAGAATACAGGAATACTAAGAAAAACATATATAAAATAGCCACACAGTAATGCTGCTAAGATAATCAGAGCTGCTTTGGATCAGTGCCTATCTCTGTGAGACCAAATCACAGCGTAGTACATATTTTTAGATGCCATGTGATCTTTGTTTCTCTTAATGCTGTGAAGAGGACTGAAATAACTCATTCTCTTCCTTGAGATGGCCTAAATCTCCATTCTTTGCAATCAAAGGGCCTAAGTAAAACAATATGTTTGAGAAGGTTTATTTGTTTTGTTTTGTTTTACTACTAATAATGAACAGACCAAGCACACTGAGTTCTAGATCTGATTTTCCACTTACTAGCCATATCATGAGTCTCAATATTTGTAAAATGATGGCACTGAATTAAATTATTGCTAAATTTCCTTCTCGCTTAAATTAGTGTTAGAATTCTGTGATTACTGAACTCTTTAAGAATGTTGTTGTTGTTTTTTTTTTTTTTTTTTAATTTAGCTGTCATTATGGGCTTGGAGAGATAGGAAGAATTCAAGTAAAATCACCCAGAATCAGACTCCGGTGAGCATTTCCTCGTGTGGTCTGAAACCAAGATGGGGCTTTAAGATGAGCAGAATGGAAGAGAGCAAGCTGGTAAAATGCTGTTATGAGAGAATATACTTTAAAAGGGTGAAAACCTCAGTAGTCTACCTTCATCTTTTACTTTCTTCTGCATGTGAATTTTGTGCCCATCATTAACTTTTATTTTTCCTAAGTTTTTATCTTTTGTGGGCATCATTTTTCTGGATTAGGACAGCAATCTAATTTTCTTTTCTAAGAAAAGGAACTTAAAACAATTTTGGCTCAACGTCAAAGCCAGATTGTAGTAGTGGAAAAGCTCTCAGATCCATCTGACATCCAATATGTCAGAGTAAAACTGCATCATACCTTTTCACCTTGCAAACCAGGGGGTCCCATCAATCCGAAAAGGCCTGGGTCACCCTATAGACAAAACAAAGAGGTTTAATGTCATGAAAGAGAATATAAAGTGAAAGCTCCCTTTTGTCTCAGACAACAAGACCTTACTACTTTCAGTTTTGATCTTCAAAATCTAGCTCAAGTTCTACTTTGTTTCACAGCCCTTTTTGGGTCTTTTTGAGACTGCCCCCTTGGAGTGCTGAATACCTGGACTATATTTTCCCACCTCCGTGTCTGTCCTCTTTCTTGGTTTTTTTCTCTACAAACCCCCGTACTCCCCAAATTCCTGTCAGTCAAAACATCTAAAGGAGTTTGTTCAAAATTCTGCAAGATTTTATGAGGCAATTTCCCTCTTTAGTAAAGACCGACACTTGGTGGGACCCCTAGGCAGGCCTCAAGGACTGTGGAAAGCACAGTTCACTTGAGGGACCAAGGAGGCTACTGCCAGAAGGCACTGGTACTTTCCCTTCCATGGTGCAGAAGCTCAGAATGTACACCTGGGAGTAAGTGCAGCATAGCTGAAGTTTATGGGTATGTCGAGGTGTTTGGCTGCGATAGACTAAACTTCATCAACTAGGCCATGTTTTCCCCACCTTGGTGAAGACTTGCCACCCATCTGGAGGAAGAAGGGCACCTGTGGCAGGTAGAAGTGCCAAGAAAGATAGAGGAAGCTTATGAATTGACAAGGAAAAGTAAAGTAAAAAAGAGTATGGGAGAAAGCAGAGATGGGCAACATGGATCATCTTGAACCAGTTTACTCAAGGTACATATTTTGGGAAACTTTTCTCTCCCTCTTTGCACTGTAATAGAATCATTTCAGGTGAAAAATACATGTTTTATTAGAAAGACAAAAAGAGGAGCTGGAAGCACAGCTCCAGCGGTGGAGCCCCGTGTTTATAAGGCAAGAGGACTTAGGATCATAGCCAGCACCAAAAATGAATGCATGAATAAATGAAAGAATATTTTGGTAATGATATTAAAGAGACTCCTTAATAACTCTTCACAGTTTTTTGTTTTTGTTTTTTTAGTTTTTAGGTATGGCTTGTCATCATATTAAACAATTGGAAGAGAAAAGACTTTTTCTGCTTTCTTTTTTGGGTGCGGTACTGGGGATCAAGCTCAGGGCCTTGCACTTGCAGGCAGGTGCCGTTCCACTGAGCTACATTCCCAGCCCAAGGGATGTTTCTGGTCATTAACAGTGGGGTGTTTTTTCCATTTGTTCTAATATTTATTTTAGCTTTTCAAATAATGACGATGATGATGATGATGATGCCTTGTTTCTTTTATGGGAAAGAAAAAATTACACTATCTAAAAACTATGTATTGTACACTTGAAGTCTCAAAAAGGCTTAAAAACTTATATATGTCTTATTACATATGCTGCTTACCATATTTTCCATAGAGAACTAGTCCTTGTATTTCTTCTGTTGTTTCATTACTGACCTTATACATTGTAAAAATGGCTAAATAATTTAAATATGCTTGTTTTCCAATCTTTCTCTGCCCTCTCCAATTTAATATTTCTATTCAGGATGTATTTGTATACCTTATCGCTTTCCTCTGTATATTTGAATTCAGTTTGATATAAATAGTACTTCTAAGAGATTATTTTTAAAGTTTACCATTTTATTCACTTATTTAGTTCATTGCAGCAATCCTCCTGCCTCAGCTGCCCAAGTGTTGGGATTACAGGCATATGCCACCGTACCTGGCTTAAAGCTTACTATTTTAGAAATCCATCACTGTCAATTTTAAAATATGGATTTCACTCACAACTCAGTGGCAACATGCTGTCAGATTCTAAATCTTGCTGTAACTCTCTAATGAATAAGAGTAACTCAAAATGTTAAGAAAAAAAGCCTAACATAATGTCCAAACCTCAATTATTATACCTAAGTACCCTATATTTTGTACAGGGAAACCACAGGAACAGATAGGCTGAGCATTTGATATAAGTGTTCATGTTTAATCTGGAAGTTTTATTTGAAGTATTACCAAAGCAGAGTGGGAATCTAATTTCTAACCTTTAAATAGGAAAGTAAATGTACTATATTTAAATTTTAAATGGTGGCAATTGTATTTCCTTCTCAATTGCAGTATATTTTTCCTTGTAAAAACTAAGAGATCGATGAAAACGCTATGTTTCTAGAAATAAACATTTATTCTTTTACTAAATGCTGAGATTCAGCTCAGTGCTACTATAGAAATAAAATTCCTAAACATTTTCAAGGATTTACTTGTTGAGAATTTATCAGAAAAAGTTCATTATTATGGTGTTTTATTTTATGTTTACAAAAGTTTCTGTAAGAAAATTAAAAGATCAGATTTTAAACCAGGAATTATCATAACTGTGCAGGGGTTCTGTTTGTGGAGAAATAGCACATAAACAGAAATACCTTTATAATTGTACCCCATTTATCAAGTGCATGTCTACATAAAGCTTCCCCAGTGTCTTTCTATAAAGTTCATTTGTATTTTTCCTTGCTGGAAAACAGTATCCTCTCCCAATAAAGACTGTTGCTATTTTTACTTTAAAACATTAGTTTTTACCTAACGGTATATGTGTTCATGTTTCAAAGTACTATGATAAAATGAAAAACATACTGAACTAGAAGTCAAAAAATGTGGACATACTATTCACTCTGCCATTTACTATCTATCTTAACATTTATTAACTTCACTTACTCAACTAGAAAATAAGATAATGATGACTACTTTCACAAAGAGTTACTGTGATCATTTAATAATAAAAAGTATGTGAAACTATCCTAAAAGGGTATAAAATGGCATTGGGATTCATGTAGTATTAATTTGTAACCCTACCCATCGCTAATTGGCAGGTAGTGAAATGGCAGGCCACAATAGACACTCAGTGAAATTAGTGGTAGGTAGGATTTAAATCACTAAGTTAAACTGATGGGACATGATATACTTAATTCTTCAAATAGTTCTTCCTTCATTAAAATCAATAATTGTATCATACAATAAAATCTGTACTTTAAAAAGATGAAAATGATTTTTAAGTACTCAAAATATATAATCTTGATTGTATTTCATGGCAAATAAATACCTTTCTTCCAGAAACAGCTTGATCTGGGGAAAATCCTGGATCTCCTTTGGGGCCCTAGATAAAATGGTTACAAAACACTTGGTGAGCCACATATTGCAGTGTATCACACTTGTTATATGGTTTTAAATAAAATTATTTTAAACTAACAAGGTAGGAATACATTATTTACCTTTCTGATGTATTTTATCTTAGGTTTACTTTTTATTTATTTATTTGTTTGTTTGGTACTGGGGATCGAACTTGGGTCCTTGCGCTTGCACGGCAGATGGCGGAACCACTGAGATAAATCCCCAGCCAGGTTTACTTTTAAATGCTGAGATTTCCAAAAATTCTCTAGGCAGAGTTAATATTTTAATATCATAAAATAAGGTAATATCATTATTGAAACATTTTCTTAGAGGAACTAGGTACAGTCATTACTATTTTTTCCATTTTTGTGACACATTGAGTTATTATTTCTATTTTTAGCACTGGAAAGCTAACTAGTAAAGGAAAACTGCTTTTTATAATCCTTCAAATTTTAAGGTACCATTAAAAGTTTGAGTATTTTCTAAAATCTTACAATGCACATGCATTACTTTTATCATAAAGAAATAAAACAACAAAAACGTAGTTCTCGTCAAAATTATTCTGGTCTATTATAAAATACATATACTTTTCATATCTTGGAATCTTTATCTTCTACATTTCAAGAGGTATATGACATTGTTTCAGCTCAAGTTTTTTAATACAATATTAAAATCTACTTTGTGACACTACTTGGTTTAAATGTCATTGTCCCCACCAACATTCATACTGAAGCTTAATTCCTCAATCCAGCAGTGTTGGCAGGTGGGGCCTCACAGGAGAAGTTTGAGTCCATTGAGTCCACTGAGTACCTGAGTATGTTGTTAACGGGCTCTGGGAGGCACGATGGTTATCAAAAACAACGAGTAGCAAACGAATTGTTTTGGCTGGAAAGGGTAGCAAGTCATGATAGGACACTGACAAGTTCTAGCTTGCATGTTGATTACCAAAGGACTAGTACCCAGGACAAAAGTTTAGCATCAAAATGAGTCAGGTACCAAATTTAACGCATTTCAAAGCAGTCTCATGTCAAAGTATATCAGTGTCATCTCTCTGAGTGAACTCTCCTGCTCTCAGCAGGTACAGATTATTATGAGAACAGGTTGCTGTGAGTCAGCCCCTTGGTCTCCTCATATCTTCTTCATGCCTTTGCATACCCTTTCCTTTTCAGGAAACCCTCATCAGAAATCAAGCTGAGGCAAATTATCATATTGGACTTCACAGCCTCTAGAACCATGAAGCAAAACAAACATCTTTTCAGTATAAATTACTCATTCTATGATACTATGTTACAACAACAGTATACAGACTAAGACAGATAAATAGGAGCAAAGTATGAGAAATAGGGAAATAGTTACATCTTACTTCTCACAATTAAGGCTGCTTTTAAATACCTCTCAAGTTAACCAATGAAAAAAGGAGGATTAGGAGAAAGGTCCTGGATGTTTCCCAATGTCTTCCAATTTACAAATTGGACATTTGTAAAGAAAAATTGAAAATTTGCTACGAGCCCTATCATAAGAAATAGCCAAGGAAAATTTTTGGAGAAAAGTTGATTTTTTTCCCCCTTCCACAGCCATTAACATTTCTATCATTGAGGCTTCCATTTTAGATCACTGGTTCCAGGATTATTCATTGAAGAAATGGCTTTGAATGCCAGGCATGGTGATACACACCTGTAATCCCAGCCCATTTTATAGATAAAAAAGTAATGAGGTTCAGAAAGGCCATTGTTTGGCTTTCATACACTTTAATCTTTTATTATAAAATACAGCTGATTGATTTGAGGAAACAATTTCAGACGAGATCGGACACGTTCAGGGTAGTATGGCTGTAGACTGAGGAAACAATTTCAAAAGAACGTTGACGGAATTTAAGAGATGACAGCCCTTGAGAATTTTAAATATAATAAAGTCTTATGTGGTCAGTTTTTTTTGGGGGGTTACCGGGGATTGAACTCAGATCCTTTAGCTTGTGAGGCAGGCGGCAGAACCACTGAGCTAAATCTCCAGCCCCAGTGGTCAGTGTTTTTACATATAAATGTTATGTCAAAATTCTTACTTGTAGGACCCGTCTGAATTTAATATTATTTAGCAGCTTTCTAAACATCAAAAGCTTCTATAAATAATATCGTCAAATAATTTAATATTTTACCTTCTATTTAAAAATAGAAAAAGGTATGAATTAAGTAATAGAATTTAGTTTTGAATATTGACTTTCCTTATTCAAATGTTTTATGTATCTCAGCAACACATTCAAAGACATATATGTCAAATCTCTTTACCACACAAATATTCTTCAGTTAATTGAGCAACTTATGTTCTAGAACCAGAAGTTCTAGTTAGCATGAATGAGATAGTCCTAACCTGGCTAGTTGTGGGTTAATTCTTCTTAATATAAAAAAGCATGAAGGAGAGATTATTAGATATGCCAACTTTACTTTAAGGGTCAGGGAAGTAAGGCATACTTTTCTGCATTATAGGAGAAAACCCTATTTCTTCCTTTCTCTTTCATTTTGAATCAGCTTTTTTACTCTCGACAGACTTTTCAGTCTTACTTGATTGGGTTTTCAAATCTCCTTTGGAATGAACTATAATATTTATATTTATAAATTCATTAATCATAATTGTTTTGAACCTCAATATTGTTTCAAACTACTCCTACATGACTTTTGTTAAAGAAGCTACATATCCTTTTGAATACAAGCAGAAGAGGAAGTTGACTATTTTGTTGCTCAAAGTATTCTCAAAATCCCAACTGTCTCACTGATTTGCTAGTCTGAAATTCCACTCAGCGTAGATCTTTTTGTTACTAGATCTCTCTAGAATTTTCTGTCTAGGGCAGGAAACTCCCTGAGATTGTAGACTAGTAACATGCTAGAGCACAGTTTTCAGGTCAGGGTCCACCAATATGATGGAAAGAACACTGGGATTCAGACTGAAAACAATGAGGAAGTCATTTAACCTCTGACTTTGAGATTCCTCCTCTATAAAAATGCAAAGAATAGTATAGTAACTACTAGCTTAGCTCATAAGATTTAGGACCAAATTTGTGTAAAGCTGTTAGAAGTCAGTATTAAAAATAACAAGACTAAAAGCAACATTGATATAATCAAGTTTATAATTGTGGCTATCTTAAAAGCAGAGAACACAATTCTTGAATGAATGGTTGGAGCAGAAAAACTTAAATGTTAAAGAATTTGGAATTAAAAACTTCAGGGACGGATAAAGCAAACTGGGAAACAGTACAAAGGAAACACTCAGTGATATGATCTTGAGGTTGTATCGTTTGGAAATTCCTGACTTTGACATAACTAACAATTACAGAAGCTCTTTCTATAACCACTACTGCTGATCTTTATAGGTCACACTTTCTAGGCAACTGCCTCCAACTTGAAGAGTTGTGTAACCCACTGGAACTGCTAATCCGTGAGTCCTTCCTCTGTGCCTCAGTGTCATCTTCCCCACGGCTTCACCTTCCCCCTCACCCAGTCTAACGACAAGGGTCATATGTTATAATCAGTCACCCCTTTGCATACATAAAAGACCCCAATGCCTCATTCTCTCTGCGTCTTATTAGCCTACCCGGCAGTTGTTAATTAATTTTTTTTTCAGTTGTTAATTTAAACTCTCCAAGTATCCTGCTTCTTTCCCTTAGTAGCTGATGTGACTCACAGATAACGACATTCTGGCAAATCTCACTTTCAACTTATGATTTCTTACATTGATCGTTTTGTTTTTTTATATTTAGTGCATCTAATAGTTCACTTTCTCATATTTATAGATTATTTTATAATTTCTCTCTTTATACTGATAATTTTGCTTTCAACATTCATAAACTCTCACAATCCAATCTCCTGTCTCATTTAAATCTGTTCTAAAATACTCTGCCATCTCTCATGAAACAGTCAAACCCACCACTCTCCCTCTTCAGGATATTACTGGAATATTGTATTCCCTGAATAATTTTAAGCTTTGCTTTTCTTCCCGGGATAATTTCCATTCTGAAGTAAACACACTAATATATCAAAACATAAAAATTGTACATATTTATGAGGTACCATGTGATAATTCAATACAAGTATACAGTGTGCAATGTCTAAATCAGATTGAACGTATCTATCTCTTCAAACATTAATAATTTGTTTATGGTCTGAAAACATTTCAGATTCTTTATTACAGCTTTTGGAAATACATGATGCATAACTGCAATCTGTAGTCACCCTACTGTAGAATAGCGTCACAGGACTTCTCGTTGTTACTTAGCATCCATTGATCAGCCTCTCATCTCTCCCTCTGTCTACTCTTCCTTGGCCTCCAGTAAGGTGATCCTACTCTCAACTCCTATGAAGTGAAATTGTTTAGATTGCGCATGTGAGTGAGGTCAATCTTTACAAATTACATGTGTGATTAGTCAGTTTTAATCATTGTGACAACCACCTGAGATAAACTTGAAGAATAAGAGTTTATTTTGGCTTTAGGGTTTCAGGAGTCAATCTAGACAATTTTCACAAAGTAGATTTTATTCTCAGAAATTTAAAAATATGCTTATAAGTAAAATATATTTCTATATTATTAAAGTATTGTCATAAGAGCCACAAAGCTGTTTATTTAACAAATAATAAATCTGCCATTTTAGTAATAATTTTATTTTTAATTTGCTTAGTCACCTCATAAATAACTTCTCTAAGGAAAAGGAAATAACATTACAATATTTTCTGTTCCTTCTTCTCATCTCTCTGTGCTAGAGGTTGAACCCAGGGCCTCAAGCATGGTAACATGTGTATTCTACCACGAGCTGCTCCCCTAGCCTGGAAATAACATTTTCTTTTTCTTTTTTTTTTTTTTTTTTTTTTTTTGGTTTTTGGACAGGGTTTCACTAT